AAGTATTGAAATTTGAGAATATTAATATTAAAAAAATTTAATTTAATATTAATATTTTTATAAAATCTTTATTTATCATTCTCCCTATAATGTGGAAGAAAAAGAAACTTAAACCATAGGTAAGCTGGATTCGCAATTGATGCTGTCGGTTATAATACCAAGATTAATTAACTAGCTTTATTCTCGTGGGATACATGAAGATATTTTAATATTTAAAAACTAAAAATATGATAATTTAAAAACATTTATTTTATGGTGCCAAGAGTTTAATATTTCGTGGTTTTATTTTAAATTTTATTTATAATAAATAAAATGTCACGTTATATCAAAAATAAAATAAAATGTCACGCTTATTACGGAATACATTTTTTTAGTTTTACAATCTCAACCTTGCACTTAGCTTCTTACCATTTCTCCGTTCCTTCTCATCTCAATTATTGAAATAAATTTAAATAATTCAAAATTAAAATGATACTTAAAAAACATTATATTGATATCTCTTAAACTGCTTAGAAATTTAAATAAGTTTGACATGTTTTATTTTGTATGATTTAATATTTTAATAATAATTTAATAAAATACAAAGTTTAAATTATTCAATATTCATACATAATATAATGATTAAACGTGAAAGAAAAGGAAAGTGGAAGAAGCTCCAAGCCTCTAACACAAGTGAACTACATTTCAACCCGATAATTATTATAATTCGCTTTCAATTTTTTTTTGTCAATTTTTCAACTTGATTTATTTCTCGTTAATGCATAAGAATATTTTAACGTCTAAAACGTTATATAAAGTAAAAGTATGACAAAATTAAAATATTTTATTTTATTTTTCATAGAATTTCAGGTTTTGTTAATTTATTTTAAATTTTGTATATAATAAATAAGATTCCATGCTTATTAAGGATTTTTTTTAATTTTGAAATCTCAACCTTGTTTTTAGCGTTTCTTCTCATCTCATTTATGGGAGAAAATTTAAATAATTCAATATCAATATTATACAAAAATAAACCGTTGATATCTCTTAGAATACTTAGAAAATTGAATAAGTTTGACATAATTATTTTCTATTTTAATAATAATTTTAACAAATGAGAAATTTAAATTAGTTATACATAACACAATGATTGAGATAAAATGTGAAAGAAAAATCTAGGAAAAAAAAAGGTAAAAGAAAAGAAAAGACGAAAAAACTCAAGCCACGGCTAAACTACCTTTCAACCTAATAACTCATTCCCTTTCATCCTTTCTTTTGCCCATCAAATTTAATTCAGTAAATTTGTTTCTCGTGATGCATGTTTTAATACTTGAAATATAAAAATAAAATACAAAAAAGTTTAAAAATAATTTATTTTATTGTCCTCAGTGTCTTAGATTTTGTTATTTTATGTAAATTAAAATCTAAATATCAATTTATTCTTTTTCTAATTTGTTTTGCACATACATATCCTAAAAGAGAAAATAACTAATACTCCCTCCATTTAAAAATGTAAGGCATTTTAATCAAATCTTACTCCCATAAAGTAATTACCTACTTTCTAATTAACCCTATCTTTTTATATTTATCTCTAATAAATACCCCACAATAAATATAAAGTCATTATTAATAAGGGTGCTTTTGAAAAAAAAGATAATAAATACCTCAAAAAATTAAAATACTTACATTTTGAACATCCAAGTTCTCAAAAAATATTTTATATTTTTAAATGGAGAGAGTAGATCTCACCCAAATAGACAAATAATAAAAGAATATCACTAGATAATTATTTTAAAGTTTTTAAGCACTTATCTTACATAGTCGTTTTTGCAAAATCACGTTTATCACCTAATATGAAAATAATAGAAAACTGTTAGAACCTTTGTAGTTGTTATTACGTATATCTATTAAATAATGATTTTAAATCAAGTAAATAGTATAAAAATATCATAGTATTCTTTACCAATCGTCTAAATGATAATGGCAAAAAAAAAAAAAAAATCCGAAGGTGGGTTGTAGAAAATAAGTTCTATAGTAAAAGTTGTTATTTTAAAATGAAATTTTATGTTTAAAATTTTTTACTCATTCAAAATTTGCAAATTATTTTTTAAATCATAGGTAACTATTTTTATAGAAATTTATAGATAACTTATAAATTGTGTATAAAGATTTGTGAATAATAATAATATTTACAAATAAATCACAGAAAAGGACTTATAAAAATTAATATTGATTATGTCCCTTAAATTTTCTAAATTCTTCTTGTAATTTTTTTTAACAAGACAATATTAATCTTATCCATTGTTTTAGAGGTGCATTCTGTTAATCTAATCTTTTTTTTTTTAGCAGACATTAATCTTATCCACAAAACAAGATAATTTGAAAGTTTATTCCCTCCATTTTTAATGCAAAGTTACAAATATTAAATTTAGATGGTGCAATATTTTTGAGAAAAACCATTAATTGACTAAAAAAATTATAGAGAAGGATTTAAAAAACTTAAGAAACTTAATCACTATTTATTTATAAGGTCATTTTTTATAATTTATTTGTAAATAATAATAATAATAATATTATTATTATTATTTAAAAAAATTACACACAATTTACAAAACATTTATAAATTTTTTAAAAATAGTTATTTTAATAAGATTTTAGAGTGCCTAACTTTCCTGCAAAAAGAATTTAAAGGTAAATCAATACTAAAGAATATGGCTAGAGTTTTAGTTTACAGTGCATGAGGATCCCATGCACATGTCAGTCAATAAAAATGACAAAATTAATGGGTGATTAATAAAGAACTTTTTTGCTCCAAAAAAAATGGTTCAAAAGAAAAATTGCCCAACTTATCATATATCCAATGCTTTTTGAAAAAAAGAATGTTTAGAGATTAAAATAAACCATAACCCAGATATAAATTATAATGTTCAAAAGTTAAAAATAAGTAATATAAATTTTAATTTTAAAAGACAAACATATATTATGAAGTCTAAATTTAATTTAAAAATTGAAAATATATTATTTTTTAATGGTAAAACAAAAAAAAGTTTAAATGACTCAGGCTTAAAAGCTTAATTACACTAAAAATTTCTAATTTTTCAAGCTCTAATAAAAAGATTAAACAGGAGGCAAGTCAAGCCTGGCACGTAATTTCTAACTGTACTGTGGGCCTCGTACTGTATCCATCACTATTTTTTCTAGGGAAAATTGCCCTAAAATACCTTACCACAAATTTAATTGTGGAGAGGAACTTGGGAATTAGAGAAGGACTAAGGTCTTATGGTGGCATTAAATGGAATGACAAATTGCTCTCAGCAAATCCTCCCCCTCTCTATCCCCTCCAACCCTTCCCGTGCGATGCGATCGATTTGTTGCAGTAGTCATGTTGCAAGTTTTGAGACTGTCATAACTTAATTCTTCAAATACTGAATTGTAATCTTGCCTTGAAAATGAATTGGCATAAGTTGTTTGTTGAAGTGATTGAAGCTGGTGATGGATGGAAGATCATAACCAATTCAACATTCGTAAAAATGCATATACGTTGGCCTTTGTTGGTTTCCCCAAATATGAGAGACTATAGTTTGTTAGTCATCAATGCAAAAGCTTAAGTTGTTAGATGCATATGCCCGCCATGCCTACTATATATGATTGTGAGAATGAGAAACGAAAAAGATTGAATTCCAGACTATTATTGTCTGTTGTTCTCTCTTAATTCTTTACTTTGGATTTGTATCTGCACCAAGAAACTGTTTTAGATTTATAGTACTTTAAATGATGGCCTTTAACTTGAGAGACTGATATATAACATTTCTAATCATTAGTAAAGCTTTCTAGTTCACTGCTTAATCCTTAATGTCTCATTGACTTTCTTCCTTCCCACAAGAAAACCTTTTTGTGGATTGAAAATCTTGGCTTGCTTGGATTTTTTTTTTAGTAGTGCAATTGATAAAATAACTTGCATTATACTAAATAAATTATGTTATTTTTTGCAGCAAGCAAATCACTAGGAAGGACAACCAATCAGCTACATAACATGGAAATAACAAAAATTCGGAGAAGTTGCTGGCATCACATATGCATTTAAAGATATTTTGTTATTTTAATATGCAAAAATAATATTAGAATATATGAAAGAAACATTGCACTTATTGAAAAGTAATTGTATATCGTAAAAAAAAATATTGCATATATATCCAAAGGTTTCATAAGTAATTTTGATAAAGGATATTCAAATATTTTAAAGTAATATTCAAATATATGAAAAAAAAAACATCACATATGATGAAGAGGAAAAAAAATTGCATGTGCATCCAAATGTGTCTTTAAGAGATTTTAAAAGGGATATTCAAACATGCAAAAATAATATTTAAATATATAAAAGAAACACCACATATGCTTTAAAAATGCTTCATAACTCAATAAATTATCATCAAATGACCTTATTTGACATATTGATGTTCAAGGATCTTGTATTAAGGATTGATATAAAATTATTCACAATAAGTGACCTAGTAATATATTAACAGGGAAGGACTTCATACAATATATTGACAATGACCTTGCTCAACTTTTATTTTTTTTAATCATAAGGACAATGTGGTCATTTCAAAATTTGAATTAATGCTAGTGAAAGATCTAATGCCCCAAGTCTTTGTGAACAAACTCAAATTTAGTGGAGTATTTCATGGTAAATTTTTAGGTTGAAACATGCACTTTTTTAGGTTGTTGGTCTCGTATAATCTCTAAAAATACAAAAATAATTAAAAAATAAATATGAGAAGATAAAAATTTTTTAAAGCAATCCATTCATTATTGATCTTTTTACCTGCAACAGTAATTTTTGAATTAAGCGTAATGAAATTAATTAATTTTTGAATTAAGCGAAATGTTCAGACCTAGAAAACGCTAGAGAGGAGGTCAAATTAATGAGTTGCATGGCCCCACGTCATTGCTACCCTCTTGTATAATGTTCTTTTTTTTTTTTTAAATTTGAGCTCACAGATATTTTAAAACCAGGGATTGAATTGTATCTTCATCGTTCCGCAGGAATTCTTGCTCTCTGACATCTGAAACCGCGTCTTCCTCAACCTCAACTCAACGCCCTTGCCTTCTCCTTCCTCCTTCATCCTCATCCCTTCCCTATTTTTGCCTCCCTAAACCCTATCTTCCCTCTGGTTTTCTCCTTCTCATATATGCACCATGTCCATCTTTAGCCCCTCCACAGGCTTCTTCGCCATGCTCTGTATCCGTGGCCCCCCTCTCTCCTGGAAAAGATTCCATCTTTTCGACCTCTCTCTCTTCCCTTCCTCCATTTTCCTTCCCTCCATCACCTCCTAGTCTCTTCATCTTCATCTTCTACCTCTTCTTCTTCCCTTCTTGTCCCCGTCGCCGTTTTCCCCTTCCCGGTGACATGGCCCGGGTGATGAACGAGCATCCGAACCAGGACGACTCGCCCAGGAGCATTCTGTTCAACAAGTACGAGATGGGGAGGCTTCTGGGTCAGGGAAACTTCGCCAAGGTGTATTACGCTAGGAACCTTGTGACCAGCGAGAGCGTCGCCGTTAAGGTCATCAAGAAAGAGAAACTCAAGAAAGAGAGGCTCGTGAGGCAGATCAAGCAGGAGGTTTCTGTGATGCGGTTGGTCCGGCACCCTAACATCGTCGAGCTCAAGGAGGTCATGGCCACCAGAGGAAAGATCTTTCTGGTAATGGAGTATGTCAGAGGTGGTGAGTTGTTCTCCAAGGTTGCGAAAGGCAAGCTTAAGGAAGACGTTGCCAGAAAATATTTCCAGCAATTGATAAGCGCCATTGATTTCTGTCATAGCCGTGGAGTCACGCACCGTGATCTGAAGCCTGAGAATCTTCTTTTGGACGAGAACGAAGATCTCAAGGTTTCCGATTTTGGGTTGTCGGCGTTGCCGGAGCAGCGCCGATCCGACGGAATGCTCCTGACTCCGTGTGGAACGCCGGCTTATGTGGCGCCCGAGGTGCTGAAGAAGAAAGGGTACGATGGATCCAAAGCTGATATTTGGTCATGCGGCGTGATTCTCTATGCTCTGCTTTCTGGGTATCTGCCATTTCCGGGCGATAATGTTATGAAGATTTACAAGAAAGCATTCAAAGCTGAGTACGAATTCCCAGATTGGATTTCATCAGGAGCTAAGAATTTGATCTCTAATCTTCTAGTCGCCGACCCAGAAAAAAGATATTCGATCCCAGATATCATGAAGGACCCGTGGTTTCAAATCGGGTTCATGAGACCAATCGCGTTTTCGATAAAGAAGGAACCAGGTTTCGATTTCGACGAGGAAGAGAATGAAGCTAATGATAAACAAGAAGGAGAAGCGTTGATAAGATCAGAGAATAAGCCATCTCGACCATTTTACAATGCGTTTGAGATAATCTCATCTTTGTCAAATGGGTTCGATCTAAGGAGCTTATTCGAGACACGAAAGAGATCTCCGTCATTGTTCCTGTCGAAGCTTTCAGCTCCGACGGTGGTGGCGAAGCTAGAGACGGTGGCGAAGAAGCTGAACTTTAAGATCACAGGGAGGAAGGATTTCAAGGTGAGGATGCAGGGAGAAACAGAGGGAAGGAAAGGGAAGCTGGCCATGACGGTGGAGGTGTTCGAGGTGGCGCCGGAGGTGGCGGCGGTGGAATTCTCCAAGTCGGCCGGCGATACACTCGAATACATAAAGTTCTGTGAGGAAGAAGTGAGACCTGCACTGAAAGACATAGTATGGAGCTGGCAAGGAGATAGTACTAATAATAGTAGTCTTCAAAATTAAGTTCCTAATTTTTATTTTTATTTTTGAGTGTATTTTTAAGATTCAGTTTGGCTTTAGTACTATCAGATATTTGTAGGTAAATATGTAGCAAAGGCGTCTGAAGATTATAGTACTGAAAGTAACAAGATTGCAGAGTACAAATAATGTCCAATAGGATCTGGTGTGTGGATGTGGATGATGAATGAACTGGGGTTTGGGTTTGATTTGATCAAGAGGTTCTGCAAGGACTTTTGGATTATGTGATTGAATTACGAAGTTCAGCTTTTCTGGGGTCCATGTTTAAAATTAAAAATATAATCATTAGGATATGTTTGAGTTTTAGCAGATGAAGGTTTTCAACTTTCAAGCATTTGTTGGGTCCATCGTTATTCGTTAGTCCTCCTCTCGGTGGAATCTTGAGTCGTTTTAGGTCAGTAATGATGAATGAAATGAACGCATATGAGAGGGATTTGATGAATGTCTGTATTGAATTTTTAAAATTAAAATTATTATAAATTTATACTTTACTTAAAATTAATAAATGAGTAAATTTATCTGTATCATTGATTTATATTTTAATGATTTGGATGATACAGGTAAAGTATTCAAAATCAGATTGATTATTGAACCGATCAAATCAATGAGTTACAAGTTAGTGATTCAATTTGGGTTAAATTGAAGGTCAATTTGAAGGGCAAAATGATCATAATTGAAATAATATAATTTAATAAAAAGACATTAATTATGAAAATATTCAACTAAATTCAAGATTAATCTCTAATATAAGATATAAATACAATAATAATTATAGAATTATAACCATCTAAAAGTCTAACAATAATAAAATATAACTTTCTAAATATTCATTCTTATAATTGCGATTAACAACCCTTCAATCATTAAAAATTTTAAAACTAGTCATCACTAACACTAATATCATCAACAATGACAGTCATAATTTATAAATATTAAGCAACAATCAAACAAATGAACAACAACAAATAATAAAAAATTAAAACAATTAAGGCACAATTAATTTAAAAGAATATTGAATTTTTTAAGTTTAAATTTACAATTAAGACCCTCTATTTGAAGTTCAAACTACAGATAGTGAAATTTAGTTTAATTGTCTTGCCCTCCTTTGCCTTGCTTTTTTAATTTTGAAGCTGAATTTTTTACTTTTTATTTAGTTTTTATAATTTAAAAGAATAAAAAATAAAAAATAAAAAAGTGACCTAATTGACCTAGCAACCCCGCTACCGGGTTAGCCGAGTTATCCCGGGTTGACCCCAGGATAGCCGAGTCACACTAGGTCAGTGGTTGGCCAGTTTAAGTGAAAACTCAAATCGAAAAAGAGATCGGATCACCACTTCATGAGTTGAATCGACTAGTTCGATCTGAGTTTCAATACAATTAATACAGGTATTTAATATATGTATTAAATACTGTCATTAAATTCAAATTCCATATGGGAGTGCCTCCACTTTGCAATGAGTATTTCAGATCATTTGGGTTAGTTTTAGAGCCAACCACATAGCTTTTGTATATACTCTCTTAATTTAAGAATGTAAAACATTTTTAATTAAATTTTACTATCTAGTAAAATAACTACTTATTTTTAAATTAATTTTTTTATATTTACCCTTATTTAATAGAATATTTAACTTTAAAATAAATATAAAATAATTTATTCATTAGAAGCATTTAAAAAAAAGGCAATGATTATACCTTAAAAGACTAAAAATATTTTATATTTTTAATATCTAATTACTTAAAAAATACTTTACATTTTTTAACGAATGGAGTATATACATGGAGCTAAAAATTTATATACTCAATTAGTCAATTTTATATATTTATGGTATTTATTTTTAATTAAATTAATACTTGCATACATTTATAGATTATTTATTTTATAATAAATTTTTATTATTAATATTATTAACATATTAAAATTTATTGTTTGAATTTAATTAGATAAAAATATATTTGATATATAAGATTAAGTATCTAAATCTTTCCCCTCCCCACACACACACACTCCTCCAATTTTATTATAAAATATTTTTAAAGAAGAATAGCAATGAAGGCCCCTAGAAAAGCAAAAAAGGACAAAAAAATTGTGAGAACTCTGAATAATTAAAGATTGATCTATGCACAACTTATTTCAATGAAATCACACAGACATGGTTAAGTAACTAATTTTGTTTGAAAACAAAATATTTTTTTTATTTTGGTCATATTTAAATAAAAATTTTTATATTTACATTATATTCTTTTGTATAGTTAATGACTTTTAATAGAGGTAAGATTAGAAAATTTTATTTAATTCATCATCTACTGATTTATAATAGGAATCATGTATCTCTTCTGAAAAATGTCTTATAATATGAAGGTAGAGTTGGAGGGAGTAGTAGGTCAAAGTGAGAAGCAACTTTTGTTTGTTTGTATGGATAATCACGGTCTGAAACTTTTTATGTCCAAATATGAATTACATCATAATAATTTATTTTTATTTTTGCAAACATTAATCCAAACTTGGACTTAAATATTTTATATATTTGTGAAATTGTAAAGAGAAAGTTTAAATCAGAATCATTTTTTATAAGATCCAATAGATCATATTTGGAAGTAGATGAAAAATGCAACAGAGAGAATGGCGAATAAGAAGGTTCTTTTTTATTTTTGGAAAAACCATTTTCATGCTTGAATTTTAGACTTGATCTAGGTAAGTTTGGATTGGGAATAAGTTATCTCAACAGAATCTTTTATTTATAAAAATGCTCAAATTCAAGGTTTTGCATGAAAGTGTTTAGTCACTACCTTGACTGAAAAGTGAGGGACGTTTTGACTATTAAATTTCGATGATAAACAAGTTTGGTTTCACGTTAAAAGTTATTAAAACGACTGCACTGATGGAAGCAAATATTTACCTGCTTTCACCCAAAAAAAAAAAAAAAGCCTACAATTTGAATGATTTCGAACGTAAAGCTAAACATGTTTTTTTTTTTTTAATCTCTTGATATCTTGAGAAACTTAAAGATGTTACTATCATTCACTCAAATTAATCCAAATTCCATTAATGTGAGACTGTTATTACTAATGATCATGTCATCTTATAAGTACTTTAGGATGTCTTTCATATTTTTTATTTAACACAACTACATATTTTAAGGTTTGAACTTAAAATTTTAAGATAAACTGACTGCCTCGATCAAGTAAACCAATTAAGCAACTCTCCATTGGAAAACTAAATAAACATGATGCAATTTCATATATAGGATCATGAAGAAAATAATGTGTTGAAGAGAAGAAGAGGATGATGAAGCAGACGCCCAAGTGGGATTATTGGCTCTCTCCAAAACAAAGTAAACGTGATTCCACTTTAATGAGCTGATGTGGACCAATGGTAGGCACTAGATTTCTATCGTATCAAGCTGTGTTTGTTTGGTTAGGAGAATATGGCACACGAGAACGAGAAATTGATTGTAAAAGAAAAGGGATAAGAGTATAAGAGAGGGAGTGGATGGGAGAGTGGCGTTATAAAAATCAAGAGGTGAGAGAAGGGAAAAGCAAACAACAATGAGGTGAGTCAGATCAGAGTCATCTGATTTGTCAAGGTTTGAGGCAGGAGCTCCTATTCTTTTCAATTTGCAACTCAACTTGGTCCTCTTTGATGTTGACCATCACCAAATTTGCTTCCTTTATGCTCCTTCCGCTCTTAATAGCCCCTCAAAAAGTTTTGTATGAAAAAAAAAAAGTTTAGGTAAGTAATAATCTAATTATGGAGTGTTTATCAAGGTCATGATCTTGTAGGTTATGGAGTTAAAAGATTTTTTTTAAAAAAAATCGTAATACAAGGGGTGACTTAATTCTCTTTCCTTTCAAAAATTGTATGATACTTTGTATTATATTTCACATGTGAATAAAAGTGATTGTTTATTTATTTCCATAAAAAAATAATATGCCTTTTTTATAACTTTAACCCCAACTAGCATATACTCAAGGGAGAATCATATCTAAAGATTATTTAAGAAAATTATTCGTGAACAATGATTAATAATAAGTTTTATTTAAGAAAAAAATAAATCATGCTCCTATTTTAACAATAATTAATTTTATATTGATCTTTGTTTGTAAATAATTTCTTTAAGTAGTCTTTAGATGTGATTCTCTCTATAATCAATAATGAACTAAATTATATTTCTCTTGCCACGCAAAAAAACCCATTTTAATTAGTTAATGAGATGGTAAATTTAAAAAAATAATTTATAAAAAGTGTTCTACATTTTGAATCAAGTTTAATTGAAAAAAAAAATAGCTTACGGGTTGGATGAGAGGGAGTGATCAGCCATTGAATTGATCAAAATACTATTTCAAGAATTAATGATAAAAGCAATTGAATTATGTGATCAAGTTGACCATAAACAAAATATTTTATTAAGCAGATTAAGACATAGATTTAACAGTTTACTCATTCAACTTGTTAAGTTGACCTGATTTTTAATTCCATAAATTTAACTACATTTTAATAGAGATAAAAGTGGAATATTAGATTTTTTTTACCTTAAAAAATGTAGCAATATTTTTCTTGATATTCTTGAATATGTTGGCAACACGTTATAATAAAGATGAGAGCTATCATATAACATTCCCACTACCTAATTTAGTAAGCATTCACCATCATCTCATTCACTCATCATTTCGAGTCACCTTCGTTCATTTAATTTGATTCCCCACATCCGATTAGTTGGCAGAAATTCTGAAAACAACAACTACTACTATAAGGCATATTTTTAGAGGTTTTATAATTCAATTTATAAGATATTGTGTAATTTTAAGAGTAATTAATAAATTTATTTTGAAAATATTTCTTATGACAAATAAAAAATTCATTTGTCCACAATCAGTTTGGCTCATTCCTTATTAAAAAATTAAGAAATTTAACTATACTCGATGAAGGATGTATTTAGAAAGATAGAAATGTTTTAAGGATAGTAACGAATTATATTAGTGTATGTATAAGTTAGTTGAAAATGTTTTATAATAAAATATTCTCTCAATTTCAAATTATAAAATCTTTTTAGAGGTATTTTGTTATTTCAAAATTTAAGACCAACTTGACAAAAATAAAATTTATTAAATGATATTTTTTTAATATTACTTTTTGAAGAAAGAATTGAAATAATTGTAAAGTAATGATTAAGTATATAGATTTAAAATTATATTAAATAAAAAAATTTAAAAATTTATATTTCTATTTTAAGAAAGTTTGTTAAGTATCAT